TTCAATAACATATAATATTTCACCACAGTGATGCAGCTATTTACTTTAACATTCCTCCATTTTTAGGTATTTCATTTTGTTTTTAATTTTCTCCTATTATAATAAATTGATGATGAATACCTGATTATTTAATTAAAATACATGCCTAAAATGAAGTATCAGATAAAATTATAAGAAAATTTTGAGGTTTTTATGTTACCAAATTGTCATAAAAAATGATCTGTGAATTTCACCTTACGTCAGTAATATCTAAGAGCACCTGTTCTCCTTTGGCAAAATGGTTGTGCAGTAGTTGGAAACTATGCTCATCTCCTCCCAGAGCCAGTCTGGACTTAAAGCTCAATTACAGAGCAATCAACCTGAATAACCAACTGAAGTTTACCTGAATAGAAGTCTTATAACCAAGTATTTATAGAAGAAACCACATGGAGACTGGTAAGAGGGCTGTAGATCTGGAAAAGGCTGGCTCCCACACCCATCCATGTGTGGCGGTTGAGAAACTGGAGGGATATCTAGGCTTTAAAAGTCCCCCATGAGGAGTGTAGCGTCAACCCCATACCAGGTTTTCAAACCCAGAGCACCAGAGCTGGAAATAGGAGTCCAAATATCATCTGGCGATGAAAATCAGTGGGGACTCTGACTGCCTGGAAGAAGGAGTCTGCTATAAACCTAGGTGCCCTTTTAAAGGGTCAGTGCACAGGGTGTGGCTCTGGTAGAGGTAAGGCAACTGAGTGAATATGGTAGTCATACAGAGAATATCCGAGTGGAGTGGCCCTAGGAGAGATCTGGAGGGTGAGCCACCAAGGTCCCTGTGCTGAGTTCCTATCCTACACTGTCCCCACATACCATCTTCCCAGGTGAGTACTCTTATTCTTATAGGACCAGCCTGTGAAGTGCACTAGTCTGGCTCTCCAACTACAGGCAACACCAACCTGCTGATTTTGAGTCCTGCAGAAAGGACTGCTGGTTGTATTCAATACCATCTTTGGTATGCTCCTATTCTGGGGAAGGTCTTGGCAGAGGCTCACAAAGTCATTGAGCTGTATAGCTTTGGAATAGTGGCCATTCTTCCTATACTCACATGCACAACTACTGTCTGATCCACAAACCTGCTGATTCTTTTGGCCTGTACTTCCAACTCTCAATGTCTCTGCGCAGTTAAGCTTAGTACCATAGGGGGATTGCAGTGCTGCTTAGACCTGGGATGTTCAGAGCAATTCTCCCTCAGAGGATCTTGTACAAGATTCAGATAGGCACTGGGTTGTGCAGCTACAGCGAGGGTGTCCATTCTTACCCAACCCAAAGCCTGAGTCCAAAAAATATATGCACCCCTATGTACACTGTAGTGTTATTTACAATAGCCAAGTTTTGGAAGCAGCCCAAATGCCCATCACTAGATTAGCGGATTAAAAAACTGCAGTACACTTACATAAGGGAATACCACTCAGCAATAAAAAAGAATGAAATTTTATCTTCTGTGACAACATGCACAGACCTAGAGGGTATTATGCTAAGTGAAATAAGCCAGTCAGAGAAAGAAAAATACTATATGGTTTCATTTATATGTTGAATCTAATGAACAAAATAAACAAACAAAATAGAAGCAGACGCATTAATACAGGGAGCAGACTGACAGCTGTCGGAGGGGGGTTTGGGAAGCTCTGTGAAATAGGTGAAGGGATTAAGCAAAAGAAACCAAACACACAAAACAATTCATAGAGATAGACATCAGTATGGTGGTTACCAGAGGAAAGGGATGGTGGGGGCAGGTAGAAGAAGGTAAATGTGGGATAAATGGTGACTTAAGGAGATTTGACTTTGGGTGGTGAACACATAATAAAATATATACATGATGTATTCTAGAATTATACATCTAAAACCTACATAATTTTATTAACCAATATAACCCCAATAAATTCAATGAAAAATTTAAAATGCACATGTTTTCCATATATCCTTGCCAACACTAGGTACACTAATTTATACAAATTGGCTGCTTAAGTAGACAAATTTTATATTTTGGGATATTTTTAAAACTTATTTTTTAAAAATTTTTATATGTCTTTACTGATTTCAGAGAGGAAGGGAGAGGGAGAGAGAGATAGAAACATCAATGGTGAGAGAGAATCATTGATCAGCTGCCTCCTGCACACCCCACACTGGGGATCTAGCCCACATATGCCCTGACCGGGAATTGAACTGTGACCTCCTGGCTCATAGGTCAACGCTCAACCACTGAACCATGCTGGCTGGGCAATTTTGGGATATTTTAATTTGTATTTCTTTCTAGTGAAGTTGAACAAGTTTATGTTCGTTTTTAATTTTAACTTTTATTTTGTCAGTTGTACCTTTGCACATTTTCTAATTGTTGTGTTTATCTTTATTTACTACTTTCCAAAATTTTTGTAAATTAAGGATGCTACATTTTTGTTTTCTATATTTTCAAATTTCTCCAAGTTTTTCTTTTCATTTTGAAGAAAATATCATGTAGAATCAGTGTTTCTTTTGTGTAAAAATTATAGCAATAATTTTTATATACAAAAATTTGAGTCAAAATAAAAATATGTTAGCATTTGTTACTTCTAAGTTGTAAATAGTTGGGTAGCTTTCATACTTTAATTTTTAAAACTTTTAAAATAAAACAAAGGAAAACATATATAAAGTATCTAATAGTTTGGACATATATAATTCAACCATTCTTTTATTGATGGACATTCAGGTTGTTTTCTATTTGGAGCTTTTATAAACTTCACCATAGTAATTATCCATATACATTAAAATTTTTTCATATTTAAGTTTTGAAATGATTCTCCTACTCTTCATCCTATGTTCCCAAATGCATGTCTATTATCAGAATAAAACTGTTGTTCCCACAAAAAATAATCAGTTAATTCATTTTAACAAATTGCCCTGGGAAAAACATTGATTAAAAGCAATTTTTCTTATTAAGGAAATCATATAAAAATATATTTTATGCCCTAACCGGTTTGGCTCAGTGGATAGAGCGTCAGCCTATGGACTCAAGGGTCCCAGGTTCGATTTCAGTCAAGGGCATGTACCTTGGTTGCGGGCACATCCCCAGTAAGGAGTGTGCAGGAGGCAGCTGATCGATGTTTCTAACTCTCTATCCCTTTCCCTTCCTCTCTGTAAAAAAATCAATAAAATATATTTTAAATATATATATATATATTTTATGATTTAACATTTACTCAAGATGTTCTGAAAAAAAGTTACATGTTAATATAAATTTGGGTAAACTTATTCCACTTTTGGGGATTGATAAAATTCCTTAGCATATTATATGTCCTGATAAGTACTGCACGAAAGACAACGCTCCATGATCTGCACAGAATAAAAAAAGTTTAGTCAAATAGTTTCATAGAGTTACTACATCCTCTTCTTGGAGAATTACAAAACTCATTTGTATACTACAAGTCTTGAGAATCCCTATGGTAAAGGTAACTCTCTAATTTTGCTTATACAGGGTTTCCTAAATTATTTCACCAGAGAACTGTATTCCTTTTTAACATATGTTAACATGCCAAAGTGCTTCATAGACTATCCACAGTAAAATGTAAAAATAAGAAAATGTGAGAGGTTCACAGCATGGATAACTGAAATTCAAATACTATCATACAAGTTGTCTCACTTAAACATCAAACATTTCATCAGGTCTTTGGAGAAAAAAACATTTAATTCTTCTCTCTTTTTAACCTTTGATTGTAAGTGAAGGTACACAGTAAGTAAGCCAAGTCAGGTTTTTAAATATAGTGCCATAGTGGTAAGAGTATGCTCTAAGGTCAGACAGACCTGGGTTGCAATCTTAGTTTAGCCACTTACTAGTTGGACAGGTAACTTAATATCTCTGGACTTCAGTTTTTTCATTAATTAAAATGGGAATAATAACATTCACTTCACAGAGTTTCTGTGAGGATTAAATGAGATAACACACATCAAGTACATAGTAAAGTGGCTGGCATATACAAGGTCTCTTACAGTATCTAAGGTATACTGGTACACAGCAGGGCTTTATAAAGGAAAAAAGTGAAGACCCAAGAGTCCATAAACATATCAATAGGCTTCTGAATAGCTTTCCATGGGAATAAAATTGGAAAACTTATCTGATCAGAGCTTTGAACTCCATGGTATTTCTATCACTAAAAGTCTCCATTTACTGCTGAATTACACTAGGTTATTTAACCGCGAATGTTGCAAAGAGAAGGTTGTTTAGCTTTTCACTAGACCAAAGAGAATCCCATGTGTAAGATTGCCTGCCATTGTGAATAAATTAGTAGCATTTTGGGCGAATTGGAGTGTAGGGATGGTACTTTTTGCCTGTGAGTGGATAAGAGTAGGTTGTTAACTTACATAATGGAGCCAAGCAAAAAGAACCTATTCATAATCTATATCATCTTAGAGGCCAAAATGCACCAGGACAAGATTTATAGTACATAGGTTGAAAGCACATAACCTGAATGGAATGTTTGGCTGTTTCTAGATACCTTGGGTGGTCTTTTTAGCCCAAGTGAATAGTGTGAGTTTACAGGAAATAAGGGCATCCTTTTCAGTACATTACACAGGGAAATTATGTCTAGAACTTCTACTTATGTGAGTAATACAAGAGTGGAGAATTTAACATCTTGTTCACCAGGGTGAAATCTTACTCATTTGCTAGTACCTCCCAAGATTGCCTCTTAGCAGTCCAGGTTGCACTCTATGTGCCTCCCACAGAACACTGACCTGTTGCCCTGGCTGGTGTTTCTCAGTGGATAGAGCATCAGCCCACACACTGAAGTGTCGGGTTTGATTCCCAAAGGCACAGCCATGGCTGGGGTTCGTGTGGGAAGCAACCAATCGATGTGTCTCTCTAAAGTTCATGTTTCTATCTCTCTCTCCCCCTCCCTCTTCCCTTCCACATTATTTAAAAATCAGTGGGAAAAAATATCCTCAGGAGAATTAACAACAACAACAAAATTTTAAAAAGAGAAAAGAATACTGACCTGTCTTAGAGATGCAGGAAATGTGAAAACTGCTATGTTTCTGTCTCCACTGCAAGAGATGATGAACCTTCTGGATAATCTGTAAGGTTGAAAAATGAAGGTGATCAAATGTCCCTTTCTCTTATACAGGTAGGTATTTATCCAATGGAATATTTCCTTCTTTTTCAATCCCTAGAAGCAGCAGACATCTGCAAATCTCTAAAGACTTATGTGCTATACTGAAGCATTTATAACCAGCTCAGACATTCACATTCCAAGAGTAGTCAGCCTGCTGTACTATGAACTAAGATTATTTTATTTATCAGCATTATCTATAATAATAAAAGGGCAATATGCTAATTAGACCAGACATCCTTCTGGATGTCATTCCGGACGTCCTTCCTGACGAAGTCGGGGTGGAAGGAAGCCAGCCAGGATTCCAGGTGCCTGCAGGTGGCCAGAGGGAAGCCAGCCCAGGTCCTGGGTGCCTGCCGGTGGCTGGAGGAAAGCCTGGGTCCCAGGTGCCAGAGGGAAGCTGGTGCTGGCAGCTGAAGGAAGGAAGGCCTACCCTTGCACAAATTTCATGCATCGGGCCTCTAGTCTAATCTATAATACTGGCTGGTATTTGACTTAAATAGCTGTGCTGTCAGTTCCACATTGTATGGTTTTAAATGGAATGTTTTGGGTCTTATTACTCACAAAATTACCATGTCTTGCTATTATTTTACTGGCCATATTTGAGATAGCTATTATCATATTTTAGGTGTTGGTGTTTCTAAAGAGGAATGAAGTATCTAGAAAATAAGTGCCTTTGGAATTAACAACCAATATCATTTATAGTACATACAAATGTTTTTGTTTCCAACCCCCAGCCTTTTGGGTGCACAAAGTGAACTCTGAATCAGTTTGCTTAATGTTCAGACAATCATTTTCTTTATACTCCCTGCATACAAATGAACTTGGCACTTTGAGATTTAAACAAAAGTTGACAGTTCTTGACCGTTACAGTTTCTGCTTAGTACATTCTACTTTATGAAATCAGTGTGCCATTCAGAGTGCTCCAGTAAGTGTGAGGTCTGGATTTCAGAAGATAGAGGTTATCCAGGATATGTTACCCTCGCCCCAGTTAACCAGGTAGATTCCAGACACAAGGCTGCTTTCTTCCAGGAAGAGTGAAAAAGTAAAAGTGGCTCAGAGAATGTCTTTGGAATCAAGGCTTCATAGTGGGTATAGCATTCTGTTTTGTCTGAAATCCCAGATTTAGAGTATTCTTGATCTAAAGTCTGAACAGAAAGTAACTATATTGGACCTGCTCTTCAGTGAAGGACAGAGAATAACTCATGTTTGTCAAATAACTGTAAATCCCTAGTCATTCAATATATGTTAGTTGTACTCTTGGAATCAAACAATGATTTATATGCAACCTTATTTTGTTAAGGATGCAGAGAATAATGAAATGAAAGTGATAAGCTCTCTGACCTTAAGGAATTGCTATTCAGTTCCTTACCATCCAAACTTTATGTTGGAGCCAGTTACTTTTTCATCAGTTAGCTTGAGGTCCTGTTCATTATTCATGATTTTTCTTGTACCTTCCCCCTCTTCATTCCTTTACACCAACCCACATCCTATATAATCTTTAAGACACAAACTTTACTTCCTCTGTAAATCCTTTCTTACCAGCCCAACCTACAGGAATCACTCCCCTTTAAATTCCTATAGCACAGAGCAGAACCTCTCTGGAGATCCAGACCAGAACTTGGCTGGAGATCCTGGCTAGGCTGCTGATCAACTGAACACTGTCTCCATGTCATTCCTTCTTCGCCGACTCCGTCCACACCTTTGGGGACCCCTGGACCCGCTGGGGTTGGACCCCAGCATCTGGCGCCCGAACAGGGACCCTTAGGTAAGTCCCCCTGTACTTGGGACGGATAGGACTGCACCGTAGGGTGCTGCAGACACCCCCCCCCCCCCATAGAGGATAAGTAGGGTAAGCGGGTAGTTAGTACAGAACTCTGATTGACAGGATGGGTCATACTGAGTCTAAAGAAAAAAGACTCTGTATTAATCTTTTAACGCATATGCTTGCTAGCAGAGGAGTTAAGGTTACTCCCAGTCAGACAGAAAGTTTTATAGAAGACGTATGTCAATGGCTTCCTGAGGATGGAACTGTTAATTTAGAAACTTGGACTAAAGTAGGAGAGCAATTAAAGAACTATTACAGCTACCATGGATCTGAGAAGGTCCTGGCAGATACCTTTTCTCTCTGGAATTCAATTTGTGAAACCTTGGCACCAGAGGCAAAAATGGTTGAACTTTCTCAAAATTTAAATAGTCCCTCGGCTCCACGCAGAGAGGATACATCATTATTGTCTTCAGCTCAATCTAAAAGCAATTTAGCTATGCCTATTGATCGGGAGGAGAATAAATATCATAAACATGACCATTGGTCCTTTCCAGTCAGTAGAGAGGAGAGAGGCCCTCCCATTCAAAACAGGCTCCCCAAATTAGAAAGGAAGCCTGTGGCTCCTATGAGCTCCATGTCTAAATTTCAAAGGGCGATAAGAGAAGCTGAAGCTAATGGAGATCTTGAATTCTCACTCTGCTTCCCAGTTGCATATGAGAATGAGTCTGGTGGGGACGGAAACCCCACCTGGGAGCCTATACCTTACAAAGTACTTAAAGAATTAAAATTGGCCTGCTCTGAATATGGACCTCTAGCTCCTTACACACAAACCTTGGTAGAAACCCTAGCCAGTAAATGGATGACTCCTTATGATTGGTCACAGGTTTGTAAAGCCTGTCTCTCAGGAGGCGATTACTTATTATGGAAAACTGAATATGATGATCTTGCTAAGAAAGCTGTAGCCACTAGCAAAAAAACAGAAAAGGAATAACCCTAGACATGATATTAGGAGAAGGTGATTTTAACACGGCTCAGGAGCAAATGAATATGCCCACAGAGGCACTTACCAAAGTAACCAGTTGTGCAGTAAATGCCTGGAAATCCCTACCTTATACAGCAGGAAAAACAACCACCCTTACAGAGGTTAAACAGAAGGTCGAGGAACCATATCAGGATTTCCTTTCTCGCCTCATACAAGCAGTCAAGAGAATAATCAATAACAAAGAGGCAGCCGATATCCTAATCAAACAACTGGCTTTTGAAAATGCTAATAATACCTGTCAGGCTTTATTAAGGCCGATTCACAGAACAGGAACTATAAATGATTTTATAAAACAGTGTGCTGATGTAAGTCCAGCATTTATACAGGGTGTAGCTATAGCTGCAGCTCTCAAAGGGGAGACATACCCTCAATATGTACAGGGTATAGGACAAGCCAACAATAATACAGGTAATAAAAGAAATATGAACTGCTACTCTTGTGGCTTATCTGGGCACTTTAGCAGAGAATGCCCAAATAAAAATAATAATACTCAGGCCAGATGGCAAGCTCCTCGACAGCCTGGAAATACATTAGGGAATAATATTAATCCTCCAAAAACCGTTTGTCCCCGATGTCAGAAAGGATTCCATTGGGCAAAGGAATGTAGATCAAAATACCATAAAAATGGTCGGCCTTTAAACTCTACAAATAGCTCCCAAGGAGGTTATATCCCATCACCTCAATTGGGAAACTTGAGAAGGGGCCAGCCCCAGGCCCCTGCAATAATAGGGGCATCAACCTTCAACCCCTCTGCAAATTTCAATCAGTCAGTGACCTCTTCAGGGCAACCCCAGGCAGTGCAGGATTGGACCTCCACTCAACCACCCATGCAGTACTAACCCCAGACTCGCCAGTAGCAGCCATTCCTACAGGAGTGTCTGGGCCGCTGCCTGAGGGAACCGTAGGTTTAATATTAGGACGGAGCTCCACCTCATTACAGGGGATCTTAGTCATCCCAGGAGTTGTTGATGCAGACTACACAGGAGAAATACAGATTTTACTTTCCCCACCCACCACAACTATACAGATTCAGCCCAACCAGAGAATTGCCCAATTAATCCTGTTACCAATACATAAAATAGGGACAGCTGTTACCCAGGAAGCTAGAGGGGCCGGAGGCTTTGGATCTAGTGATGCAGCATTTTGGATACAAGAAATCCATGCTACTAGACCTACAAAAATTTTACAAATTCAGGGAAAACCAATTGAAGGTCTATTGGATACAGGAGCAGATGTTTCCTGCATAGCAGGGAAGGATTGGCCCTCTTCATGGCCCACGCACACCACCTCCACTTCCCTAGTAGGACTAGGCAAGGCATCTAATGTAAAAAAGAGTTCTCAGGTTTTAACTTGGGCTGATGAAGATCAATATTCAGGAACATTCTGTCCCTATGTAATTACAACTATCCCCTTTACATTATGGGGAAGAGATATCTTATCTCAAATGAGAGTTCTATTATATAGCCCCAGCGGTGTTTGATTTACTCCTGTTACAAAATATTACAAGAAAATGAGTTTAAATATTCCTCTCCTCATCATGTTCTACAACATACTCTATTTGTAATTAATATACTAAATGTAGATTCTGAGGGAAATTCCCCGATGTACAGGCATTGGAACCCTGATCTAACTAAACCAAAAGCCCTCGTCAAATGGAGAGACTTGCTTACAGGAGCCTGGAAGGGACATGATGTACTTTTAACCTGGGGGAGAGGATATGCTTGTATATTTCCATAGGATGAAGACTCACCTGTGTGGATTCCAGACCGTCTAGTCCGACCTTATGTCTCACCGCCCTCCATCTCTGCCTCACCATAGCACACCTGACCAGTGCCCGCCTGCAGCAGATATGCAGCCCTGAGCTGGAACAATCTGTCCATTGGGAGGATCACATGTGCCTCCTTTTTGTCTTTCCACATGTCCCAGCTTTGCCCCACATCTGCTTTCCTTTTTCCTTTTTTTAAAATCTAACTACTTGTTTGCTGCTTCTTTGGCCTTTCTCCTTCTTTCCTGAACACAGCCTCTTCTAGAATCTCCCTACCCTACTGTTCCAGGGAGGGCACCTCCCTTTTATGCCGTGACTAGGGATGCTTGATATATGTCCCATACATGGAGTTGTCTTGTGCCAAGAGCCTGGGCTGAGAAAGCCCTGTTC